CACCCAGGTCACCTTGAAAACACATAGCAGCACTCTAAAATGCTTCAAACATCTTAGCAACTGAATAGTAACACACTGGTAACCACCAAAAACATCTTAAAAACCACATAGCAACACTCTAAAATGCATAGAATGCCCTGGAAACCACCCACAACACCTTATAAACAGCATAACAACACTAAAATGCTTAAACCGCCTTAGCAACTGAATAGCAATGCCCTGGCAACCACCCACAACACCTTATAAACAGCATAACAACACTCTAAAATGCTTAAACTAACTTAGCAACAGTTTAGCAATGCCCTGGCAACCACCCAGAACACCTTAAAAACCACATAGCAACACTCATAAACGCTTAAACACCTTAGAAACTGTATAGCAATGCCCTGGCAACCACCCACAATACCTTATAAACAGCATAACTACACTGTAAAATGCTTAAACTGCCTTAGCAACTGTATAGCAACGCCCTGGCAACCACCCACAACACCTTATAAACAGCATAACACTCTAAAACGCTTAAACCGCCTTAGCAACTGCATAGCAATACCCTGGCAATCACCCAGAACATCTTAAAAACCACACAGCAACACTTTAAAATGCTTAGAACGTCCTGGCAACCACCCACAATACCTTATAAACAGCATAACAATGGTCTAAAATGCTTAAACCGCCTTAGCAACTGCATAGCAATGCCCTGGCAACCACCCAGAACATCTTAAAAACCACATAGCAACACTCTAAAATGCTTAGAAAGCCCTGGCAACCATACAGAATACCTTAGAAATGCATAACAACACTCTTACATGTTTAAAACACCTTAACAACTGCATAGCAACGCCCTCGGGTTTGCTGTGATCCCAGCTGCAATCATAAATGATTTCTGGCTTTTTGATGCTGCTTTAGCTGCTATTTCTGCTGATGTTGAAGTCAACAGTGCCAGACGTGGGTCGAAGACAATGGCAGCATTAGATTTTCCTTGTATTCTGCAGCATTGGTTCTTTTGAGCGATCTGGCGGCTCTTGCATGAGTCTGCGCTCTCTCTGACGCAGGTTGGCCGCGGTCAAGCTTTTCTAGAGCCCAGAGAGACGTTAGCATGAAAAAGAGGCCGTTCTGACATGGACGTCAGCCTCATTATGGCCTCTCTCTTTCCTTTAGAGTTACCGTTCTTTAGTCTTTCATATTCTGTGTTTTTTAGCCAGTCTTTCTCTTTCTCTCCCTCTGAAAGGGTTTGATTCAGAGCTCTTTTCATTGCTGGGCTGCTTGGCAGCGAAATATTCCACCGTATTCATCTCGCCTTTTTTTCAGACGTTATGTTTTTTTTCCCTGGTGCTCTTGGTTTCACAGCAGCTTTCAGAGGATTCAGCACATTATAAAACTAGGAAACTAGCTGCAGCTCACAGACCTGATGTTTCTCATTTCAAAATTGCTTGTTTTTATTTGCATTGACTTTTAGTGCATCTACAGATGGTGTAAATGGTTTGTTCATTTATTTACATGATGGTCATCCTGCAGCATTTGTTCTCCAGACATGAAGGTCTCCTCAAATCAAGTTTTTTTTATTATTATTATTATTAATATTATTAATTGAAATGTGTATTTTCTAATTAAAAATAAATGCACATTTTTATTTTATTTTTTATTTTTTTTATAATGGTTAGTTAATTTACTCATAATCATCCTGCAGTGTGTGTGCTCCAGACATGAATAATTAATCAAATCACATGTCTCATTGAGGATAAGTGTGTTGGTTATTTTATTTTATTTACCTTTAAATGTATTTAAATTTAATTTTAAATTTAAATGTATACACATTTTATTAAATTAGTGTTTTTTAATTTTATTTGATTATTTTATTTAAAGATTATTTCTTCACATTATTTTTATGCATTTCAATAGTTGTTCCAAACCTGTATATAACTGACATATTGCTTTTTGCTGCTTGTCATTGTTCCTAATGTCTAGTTTAGTGTTTCATTGCATTGTTTGGCATGCCATCAGGGCTGAGTATATGAATGAGTACAAAAATAGTAAATGTTTGAATGAGTGTCCTGCAGTGTGGCCTTGCACTGTAAGAAAAAATGATGGAAAAACAGAAAAGGTACTGGTCATTTTCAGCCAGAACATCCTTTAACTCTAAAACTCATGCAACACGTAACTCAAAAACAGATACAACACTTGTGAAAAATCAGGAAATGATCATATTAACACAGTACATTGTGCCCTATTTTTACAGTCTTTTCTTATATGTGTAAACACGACTCCTGGGGTCTCTGAGCGCGTCCCCTGTGTATTGGAGATCATGAGAAAGTTTCCAAGTCTTTTCTGGGAATACACACTGGACAAACTCCTCCTAAAGCAACTATAACAGCACTCGAGGCTCCTCGTTCTCTTATACGTCGCTCCTGAGGGACCGGCAGCACTTTATGAAGTACACTTTTCTTCTGGCAGTATATTAGGCACGAGAGAGATGCAGGATTTGTGCGGGATGCTTGATTTTGATTGCTTCGGTGAGATAGTGCTAAGAGTTGTAAAACACACAATAGCACATTATTGCTTCCTTTTGATTGCCTTGTCGGAAAATGTTTTCAATATGGTGCATCTGCGTTAAACAGCATCAGATCTCACAGTTAACCAGTGGAGTAAATACTACAACCGAAAATATAATATAGTGAACATTCATGCTGTTAAGGCAAGACACCCCAGGTAAATAGACTACATTAGAGTTGTGTCTTGCCTTTAGCTCAAGTTTATTAGAGCAGGAGGATGATTTCTTATTGAAAGTTATCTGCTTTATTTCATGAAGCAACTCTTGAGTTTAATCGTGTGGCTAAAAATAGTCATGATTAGATCACCCTGCCGAACATCTTTTACGAGTTAAGAACATTTCTCCAGAGTTACGCATTTCACTCTTTTTCCAGCGACTCCCTCGAAGGATTCCTCCTCCGTTTTTTTTGCTCTCCGCCTCTTCTCTGCGATATGTTCTTCCGCCCTCTCAAGTTTTCCCACCCTGATTTTGCACCCAGTGATCCAGCTTTAACTGTTTCCAGGCCTCTAAAACACTCACCCCCACTCCATTCATCCGTTTATCCATTTCCACCCCCAACAACCCCATTACGATTAACCCTAGTGTTTACTTACACACACACACACACATACATCCTGGAGGATTTGGGTCTTTTGTGACCTCTGGCCTCTGTGAATGATCTCTAGAACACCTTGAAAGGGATCAAATCTCTCATAATTAGACAGATCCTGTAAACTTTAATGTTTGTATGCAGTTTTAGAAGCACTGAAAGATACTCGCATGCATTTTGGAAGTAAATAGTGCTAAAGTCTTAAATATTACAGACTTTATCTAGTTTTTCAGACATCTTTATTAGTTGTGTAAGTCAGTCCTTACTAGTACTAATAGTGCAGATAATAATGTGATCAATGTATTAACACTAACCAGCGTTGTTTTAGTATCATTGATATACTGTTTTGTAAATATTTTGAATTAGATGTTTTTTTATGTTTTTTTTTTTCATTTTAATTTTAGTTGAATTTTTAGTAATTTTGTTCTGTTTTTGTTATTTTTAAATGTCCATATAGTTTTTTATTATTTTATATTTATTCGTTAATTTGTTTAATTTGAGTTTTTACTACTATTTACAAGCAAGTTACTTTAGTACTTAACAATTTGAACTAATCAAAGACGAGAAATATTTCCTTGACAAATAACTGAAATAAAAGTTTTTATTATTTTATTTTATTTTATTTTATTTCAGTTAATGTTTAAGTAGTGATTTTTTTTTGTTTAGTTTCTCTAATAACACTATTAATGTTGAGTTTGTGCATTGTCCTGCAGGATTGATTCCCCAAATCACGTGTATTGTTGTGGAGAAAAGCTTTATTTTATTTTATTTTATTTCTGTTTTTCTGTTTTTATTATGCTGTTGTTTTGTTGGGATGCTCACCATGACCACAGTAGATGCCAGTGAATGTGCCGCAGTGAAAAATGCAACAATAACAGCGTTTGTGAAACATGCTACTGTTTGTGTGCAGTCAGGCATGTGTGTCCCTCTCTGAAGCCTGTGTGAGAAACGACCCGTGTGTTATTCCACAGCGCTGGACACACGGGAGGCACATCCAGTCAAAGTTAAAGATCCTGTCGTGGAAATACAGTCATAAACTCATGACTGCACGAGTTTTTAAAAGAACTTCACTAGAGGAATTTGTCACACTTGGGTCAATTTTCTCTTTTGTAAAAATAAATGTCGAGGTGAGTTTGGTAAGATTGCTGTTTCCTTTAGCTTTGAGCCGAATCAATCCTGAGTTGTTTTCCTTCCGTCTGCAGAGTCTAAACGTGTCCTGCTCTGGAAGACAGCATGAAGAGTTTCAGCCGGTCCCAACTGACTGCCATGACAACAAAGTCAGTCCTTACTAGTACTAATAGTGCAGATAATAATGTGATCAAACCTCTATGTATTAACACTAACCAGCGTTGTTTTAGTATCATTGATGTACTGTTTTGTAAATATTTTGAATTAGATGTTTTTTTTATGTTTTTTTTTTTCACTTTAATTTTAGTTGAATTTTTAGTAATTTTGTTCTGTTTTTGTTATTTTTAAATGTCCATATAGTTTTTTATTATTTTATATTTATTCGTTAATTTGTTTAATTTGAGTTTTTACTACTATTTACAAGTTACTTACTTTAGTACTTAACAATTTGAACTAATCAAAGACGAGAAATATTTCCTTGACAAATAACTGAAATAAAAGTTTTTATTATTTTATTTTATTTTATTTTATTTCAGTTAATGTTTAAGTAGTGATTTTTTTTTGTTTAGTTTCTCTAATAACACTATTAATGTTGAGTTTGTGCATTGTCCTGCAGGATTGATTCCCCAAATCACGTGTATTGTTGTGGAGAAAAGCTTTATTTTATTTTATTTTATTTCTGTTTTTCTGTTTTTATTATGCTGTTGTTTTGTTGGGATGCTCACCATGACCACAGTAGATGCCAGTGAATGTGCCGCAGTGAAAAATGCAACAATAACAGCGTTTGTGAAACATGCTACTGTTTGTGTGCAGTCAGGCATGTGTGTCCCTCTCTGAAGCCTGTGTGAGAAACGACCCGTGTGTTATTCCACAGCGCTGGACACACGGGAGGCACATCCAGTCAAAGTTAAAGATCCTGTCGTGGAAATACAGTCATAAACTCATGACTGCACGAGTTTTTAAAAGAACTTCACTAGAGGAATTTGTCACACTTGGGTCAATTTTCTCTTTTGTAAAAATAAATGTCGAGGTGAGTTTGGTAAGATTGCTGTTTCCTTTAGCTTTGAGCCGAATCAATCCTGAGTTGTTTTCCTTCCGTCTGCAGAGTCTAAACGTGTCCTGCTCTGGAAGACAGCATGAAGAGTTTCAGCCGGTCCCAACTGACTGCCATGACAACAGGTAACAGACTAAACAAACCCCCAAAATAATGTTACTGTCAAGACTTAGCCAAATAAACTCAAACCTAAAGCTCAGTATATTCTGCACATGACTCATTTAATGTATAGAACTCAGAAGGCTTTCTTTTACTGCTTATTTCACACTTTTGGTTATTAAAAACAAACGGTGCCAGATGCAAATAGATAAAGTGTAATAAATCTTAAATGTGTATTTTGGATGTTTTTTTCCACTCTTTTGAAACAAGACATGTTATAGAAGCAAAATAGTTTAAAATCGTAAAATTAACCAATGCATTGCCTGTAGTGTTTTGCCTTAAAACCTACCTTAAAATTGTGATAAATTAGGTTATTGTAATTGAAATCTACAGATGCATATAGATAAAATGTTTGAACAAAGACATGTTGTAGAAGCAAAATAACCCAGAATCTTAAAATGGAGCAATGCATGCAAAAGAATATGGTTATAATTAACAAACAAAATAAAAATGGCATTAAAATATTCATTCCGAAATTCTCATGACGTGTTTTTCTTAAATGATTTATGCACACCTTGAGTTGTTGTAGAGCTGTGTTGTTTGAGTGAAGCTGTGCTAATCTGAATGCTGGTTTGTGTGCAGGTTTGCTCCTGCTCTGTCTGGGTAGCTCAGGTCTGGAGCTCAATCCCAGCGTCTCTCAGGTCATCCTCTCCATCAACTCCTCCTTCAGCATCACCTGCTCCGGCTGGAATGACGTCACCTGGCGCTTCAAACGGGAGGAGAAAGTTCCGGAGTTCCACGTCGAGAAGCCAAGTTTGTCCTCCAGCGTTCTCAGTCTGGAGCAGGTGACGTGGAGACACACGGGCGTTTATGTGTGTTCGGAGAACGGGACAGATGAGACCAGAGAGGTGGCCGTCTTTGTGCCTGGTAAGAACTCATGAAAAGATTCAAAACTAGTTCATTTGTAAATTACTTTACTAGTAGGTCGAGTTTAAAAAAAACAACATATATCATTTATTTGAACATTTGAACATTAGAAATGCTAATTTTAACATCAAAACATGTTTTAGGTAGTTTTGAATGGGATTTTTTCATTCATATAACGTTGTGTGATTTTTATTTGATTTATTTACCCACTTCCATATTTTTTTCATTTATTTGTGTATTCATTTATTGTTCCTCAAATAGATTATTTTGTTCATTCACTCATGCGTGTGAATTCCTTTACTGATTCTAACATTGATTTGTTCGTTCACTCACTCACTCACTCACTCACTCATACGTTCATTCATTTGGGGATTCTCACATTGATTTAATGAAGTCATGCATTCATTCATTTATTATTTCTCATATTGATTTAGTTCACTCACTTATGCATTTATTTATTATATTCTCACAGTGATTTATTTGTTCATTCACTCATGCATTCATTCCTTTATTGATTCTAACATTGATTTGTTCGTTCACTCACTCACTCTCTCACTCACTCTCTCACTCACACTCTCACTCTCTCACTCACTCACTCACTCACTCTCTCACTCTCTCACTCACTCTCTCACTCACACTCTCACTCTCTCACTCACTCACTCACTCACTCTCTCACTCTCTCACTCACTCTCTCACTCACTCACTCACTCTCTCACTCACTCTCTCACTCACTCACTCGCCTTAAAACCTACCTTAAAATTGTGATAAATTAGGTTATTGTAATTGAAATCTACAGATGCATATAGATAAAATGTTTGAACAAAGACATGTTGTAGAAGCAAAATAACCCAGAATCTTAAAATGGAGCAATGCATGCAAAAGAATATGGTTATAATTAACAAACAAAATAAAAATGGCATTAAAATATTCATTCCGAAATTCTCATGACGTGTTTTTCTTAAATGATTTATGCACACCTTGAGTTGTTGTAGAGCTGTGTTGTTTGAGTGAAGCTGTGCTAATCTGAATGCTGGTTTGTGTGCAGGTTTGCTCCTGCTCTGTCTGGGTAGCTCAGGTCTGGAGCTCAATCCCAGCGTCTCTCAGGTCATCCTCTCCATCAACTCCTCCTTCAGCATCACCTGCTCCGGCTGGAATGAAGTCACCTGGCGCTTCAAACGGGAGGAGAAAGTTCCGGAGTTCCACGTCGAGAAGCCAAGTTCGTCCTCCAGCGTTCTCAGTCTGGAGCAGGTGACGTGGAGACACACGGGCGTTTATGTGTGTTCGGAGAACGGGACAGATGAGACCAGAGAGGTGGCCGTCTTTGTGCCTGGTAAGAACTCATGAAAAGATTCGAAACTAGTTCATTTGTAAATTACTTTACTAGTAGGTCGAGTTTAAAAAAAACAACATATATAATTTATTTGAACATTTGAACATTAGAAATGCTAATTTTAACATCAAAACATGTTTTAGGTAGTTTTGAATGGGATTTTTTCATTCATATAACGTTGTGTGATTTTTATTTGATTTATTTACCCACTTCCATATTTTTTTCATTTATTTGTGTATTCACTCACTCACTGACTCACTCACTGACTCACTCACTCACTCATACGTTCATTCATTTGGTGATTTTCACACTGATTTAATGAAGTCATGCATACATTCATTATTACTCATATTGATTTGTTCATTCATTCACTTATGCATGTATTTATTTGATTTTCACAGTGATTTATTTGTTCATTCACTAATGCATTCATTCATTTATTGATTGATTCTCACATTGATTATTTTCATTAATTATCATTATCGTTCATTTAATAATTCTTACATGAATTAGTTAATTCATTTATTCATTTACTTACGCATTCATTCATTTATTGATTGTCAAAATGATTCATTCTGTCATTCACTCACACATCGATTCTCACATTGATTTTTTTGTTCACTCACACAATTCATTTATTAATTCTCACATTAATTTGTTCATTCACTCAGGCATTTATTCTTTTATTATTCTCAAACATTCATTCATTTATTAATTCTCATATTGATTCTTTCATTCACTTACTCAACTCACTCACGCATTCATTCATTTATTATTTCCCATATTGATTTGTTTGTTCATTCATTCATGCATCCATCCATTTGATGCTTACATTCATTCATTTGTGCATTTATTTACTTATCCATTCATTTGTTCACACACACACACACACACTGATTCTCTGATTCTGTCCTCCTCAGATCCTGAGGTGTGGTTCCTGGAGAACGATCATTTAATGGTGACTAAGACGAAAGAAGAAGGCACGATCCCATGTCTGGTGACAAATCCCTCGATAAACGTCACGCTGTACGAGAGTGACTCTGAGATAATGGTGGAGGGTTCGTACAACCCCAGCGTGGGCTTCAGCGCCGCCCTGGAGGACAGAACCTACAAATGCAAAGGAGAGCTAAACGGAGAGGAGAAAGAGTCCGTCAGCTTCTATGTCTTCAGTATATTTGGTACCTTTGCATCTTGATCCAATCCTTTTTTTATATTATTAAAAGGGTCTTTTTTTGCTCAAATGCTGTTCATTTATTGCTCAGTAAACTTACTGATATTTCCAGTTGTGCTTTAAGTATCAACTTTGTCTCAAATGTTCAAAACAGACTATAATAAGTCACTACCAGTAAAAGTACAGAGCAATAAAATATTGAGATTATTTTCTTTGCAAATCTGAGCAGACAACAAAAGTTTGCTCTCCATTTAATCTCATTATTTTCTTTACTGCCAAAAATGACGTTCTTTCTCAGTATTTTTGTCTTGTACAGTATTTCAGTACAAATATCTAAATTTTCTTAAATCAAGATACATTTACTTGATAAACAAAATAACTTGCGATGTTCTTGTTTTCAGGGAAATCTATCAAAATTAAAGGATTTTTGCTCAATTCAAAGGGAAACAAGATTATTTTTCTGACCCCACTGGCAGATATTGATGACTATTTTGAAGATTTGTTTTACTGTAATGAAACAAGACAAAAAGACTTTGTGTAGTGTATTCAGCCCAATTTATTTCAGTGATGATTCAATTTAGCTCAATAACAGAGTCAGTGTTGCAAAATGCATGAAACTATGAAACTAATTCAGTTTTAGTAAAGCAAGTAATTAATTAAATAAATATATATTTTTTTTTGCATTTTTGTCTTTTTTTCAGTACAAATACATAAACATTCTCAAATCAAGATACATCAAGTTAAGAAGCAAAATGCTTTAAGATATTAATTCTTGTTTTCTGAAAAAAATGTTTTAATTAAAATAATGAATATAATTTTTATAAATACCAACAAAAATATCTGCCAATAGGGCAAGAAAAAGTATTTATTTATTTATATATTTATTTATTTTTTTGTTTGACTCAAGTTTATTTTTCTGACCTCATTGGCAGATATTTGCTCTGGTTTTAAGCATAAACAAGCATTTTTTTTAGTGTAGGAGAAAGGATTTTCATATTTGTCCTAGACATATGGTCTGCTAATGCTTTAATATTACAGACATTTATGACTGTATTTACCATTCATGTATCAACATTACAGGCAGTTATTTGCTGTTTTGAGTTAAAACGCTCACCATTTTCTTTTCATTTGTATTTGTAAGACGGTTAAATCATGGAGAGAGTCCATGTGTTGCACATCTGTGTCATCATTAACCGGACCGAGTCTCTCACAAACACATCAGATGATTTGTTTTCCATCAAACAATAGCCGTTTTTGTTCTTTCTTTCACACACATGGCTTCAGCTCCCGAGGCTCTGGATCCCTACATCAACGCCTCCAAAACGGTCCTGAAACAGGGCGAGACGCTGAACGTCAACTGCACCGTTCACGGCGTGGAGCTCGTCTTCTTCTCCTGGGACTTTCCCCACAAAGACGTGAGTGGGCTCAACTCTTTGTTTTCATTATTTTCTCGAGCACTTAGCGCTCCCGTGAGAAGCTCCGCATGTTGAAATGAGCTCAAGATGTGCAGCCACACCTTCGTGAGGAGCACATGTTTTTATTATGAGAAAAAAAGTCTGTTAAAAGAAAAGAAATACCCCTGAAAATCAGTTTCCGGGAGCAAATATTGCATGCTAATGGAAAAGTTGATTTCTGACACTGAAACCCCAAATGTGTTGCCCCTCAGGTGGGGGACATTGAGCCCTTGACTGACGTCCTGTCGTCCATGAGCATGCGGTCCTGTCTCAACATCACAGACGTGTCTCTGGCCAGATCAGGACAGTATGTTTGTCACGTGCATGAGGGTGTGCTGAACCAGAGAGCTTCAGCCAGTATAGACATCACTGTACTGGGTAAGAGCTGCAGATGCATCACATTTACATAAAGTACAGAATACTTTATGTAAATGTGATGTTTAATATTTAATCACAAATATTTAATATTTAATCAGAGTCTGGCTACTCAAATCAGTGAAGGTCAACAACAGGGTTATTATAGTAAATTAAAACTAAAACCATGAAAACCTTTCATTACATGAACTTTAAATGAAAAAAAAAAAAGTTTTTTTTTTTTGAATTATTTTAAATTTTAATTAATAATTTTAATTCAGTTATTTTATTTCAGCCAACTGCCATAGCCACATTTCTTATTTTCATTTAGTTTAACTTTATGTATTAAAATAACTAAAACTAAAACTGAAATAAAAATGAATAAAAACCATATAGACTTATAAAAACCAGGTTATTGTAGTTAACTAAAATTTAAACCATGAAAAAAGGTTCAATACATAAAGTAAAAAATTTTATTTAATTTTTTAAAAATTTATATTTATTAAATATTTTTTACTGTTTTACTATTAAATTATTTTTACATTTATTTATTTCAGCTAGTTTGCTATTTTCATTTAGTTTAACTTGAACTAAAATAACGAAAACCGAAACAAATAATAAAAAATATATTTAAATAAATAAAA